CGGGGAACTCTGCAAAAAACGCATCTTCGCACGGGCAGCCCGTGCGTTGGCCAATTTTTTTTACTCATCATGTATTTTTCAGCTATGCCTAATTATTTCAAGACTTTTTTTTCAGATAATTTTTTTGCTTTTCTATGATTTGTGACATATGGGTTTTCAATTTTCACGCCAAATGATCTGACTTGGCTAATACTTGGCTTAAAACTTTGCTCGATAAAATATGGTTTTATTGCCATCAAGATTCGTGGAGTACAAAAATTCGTTGGAAACCTTCAGATCCGCAGCTTTATCGAATCGAAAATGTTCCAAGTTTTCGGAATAACTCACAAATTTTATGTAGAACACTTAACTCATTCAGTAAAGGATCAATTTTTTCTCAGCAGTAATCACTGCAGTAGCCCACTTTTTACCAGTAATGAGTGCAGTGTTACTGTGAGCCAAGGGTGATAGCAATATTTTCAAAAAACCACCTTCTCGTTTTTAATCTCCAAGTGATCCCGCCTCTCACAGAGTGCGAATGTGGAATGGTTCTGATTTTATTTCGTATATGCATATTTCCTGAATAGCTTATCTTAAAAATGCCGCCATGCATATCACTATCAATTTTCGTTGCTCACAGATATGCGTTAGCTCCTAAACGAGGTAGGAATGTAGGGCGACTGGCGGGCGACTTCTCAAGGATCAGTTGAGAACTGTGTGAAAATGAATAAATCTGCATAAATTACGAGAGTGGAAGAGGAAGGAGGGCAGAGAGGATGAGGTACAGTGCTGGCGCAATAGCGCAATGCAACTTCTCTTGCGCTACTTTCTTCAATGGGCTAGCAAGCAAGATCGAGCATCCAACACTAATTTATAGCTTTTTTACTCTTTTTTTTTTATTTGTTATCTATCAATTTCCCTCATATATGTTTTCAAACAATTTTCCTCAAATTCGTTTATCATGTATAGTTCTGATTTGTTTAAATTAGATTCAGATGCGATTAGGACTCATCCTGGACCTACTCATGGACCCACAGATTGTGCTTTTTTCTCCTCTAAATTTTTAATTTCGAATAATGATGCAACATGCATATTTAATGACGAGAGTCGACACACGAGGTATCGTTCAAATATCCCAACTTGACACCTGATTTTTGATGTCCACCATCACTCTCTCTTTCCATTTTCATTATCATTCAAATAATACTCATATCAACCTTTGAACTAAATTTTTTTCTGATTTACTTTCTAAGCTTCACTTTTGATCCGAACATTCACCAGACATGAAATACACTCTGAATTAGTGGAGTATCATCATCATCATCACCATCATTATCAATCATAAGCTCATTGTTCTCGTTGTCGCCAGCATGATGAAAAAAAAAAAAACATCTGTCTGTTTTAAATTTTCCTTTAAACTTTGCTAAAACTTTTAACCAGTAAAAACTGGCTGAATTATGCGTCGAAAAAATTAGCTCAAAAAATAATCACCGCTTCGGAAGTAGAACTTTTTTCTGGTTTTTTTCAAGTTTCAGTTTTTCTGTTCAACATGTGGAATAATACGATATTTGTCGCTTTTGAATTTTTCGCATAGCTTTTGAGCTCGTGCTACAACTCGTAATCGATAAAATCGTCGAAAAAAAATTCAGAAAATATTGATTTTTTGATCTTTGACATGGGATAGCTTAGTATCATGAGCCATAAGCGCTTGATCTATTTCGTCATCGTCATCATCATCATTATTATCATCATCATCACCATCATTATCAATCATAAGCTCATTGTTCTCGTTGTCGCCATCAATACCGCCACCATCACCAGTATCATCACCGTTAGCAGGTCCACCACGCGCC